TTTCGTTGTAGAAGTAGAAGGCTCAGAAAACAGAAGGGGTTTACCATAATCATCCTATGGGTCCTGCAAGTCACATCTAAAACTGGACACGCGACTTCCTTCTCAGTCTTTCTTTCTCCCGTTTTCATTCTTTTGTTTGTTTGAAGTCAAGGTAGTACAAAGAACATACACTTTACATCCTTTGATCGCAAAGAGTTTCTCATTTAATGGAAACAAATCCCAGTTTTCACTGCACAGAGTGTGAAATTAGTTTCTTTATAAATTTCTCTGAACATTGGTTTCTCTGGTCAGGTAATTTGATTATTGATAACATGGATAGTTGGAATAAGAACATTTCATAAGTGTATGAATGACTATATTTATATATATGAGCATGTAGATATGTTTGCATATGTATATTTAGACATGTATGCAGATATATGAAATATAACTAAGTCATTAGTTTTGAATTCACATTGTCTAGATAACAGAAGATGTATTTTCCTGTTTCTGTGAAGCAGCCACCATGAGAAAAAGATTCAGTCTTATGAAGGAGATTTTTTGGTATATTTAACAATTTTAATAAACGAAATAAAGAGCATTATGTCTTAAACTCCAATGTTAAGTATTTCCACTGCACTAATCTAAGTGATACCATAATACATTGTATTATTATATTTTGTTCTAAATAATTGTGAACTTTAAGAATTTTTTTAAATTTTATTGTTCTAATTAAAAATGAAATATTAGTTGAGGATTAAACCGGATTTTTGCAACAAGGATATCTTATATCTTAGAACCATTTGGAGAGGCTGGGCATACTGTTTAGAAATCTTGGCAGTTGGCTTAGATGGTCTAATTAAGGGGATTTGTGTTTGTGTATGTGGAAAATGGTGTAAATATAGACAATGCTTACCATTCTGCCACTATGTAGTATTTCTTCATCTCTCAATTATGTTGAATGTGTAAATGAACAGTTTTGATTTTCTCTGTCCATTTCTCCTACCAGCCTTGTTACCTAAAAATCTGTTTCAGAGTGGATCTGCTTTAACTAGCATTTTGAATTTACTTGTTCTTTTAGTTTAAAAAAGGGATATTGCTATGGAGTAGAATGAGAAAAATTTAAAGTCAAATTGTCCTAAATGATGTCTGACATTAATTAATATGATTATGCATTTTAATGACTTCCAGAGTCCCTCTAGAAACACCATTGCTGGTCTGGACAAATTTAGATCCCTTGTCTACCCAGCATTGGTAAATATGACCGTCCTTAGGGATAAGAGGGCTTCAGAGGTTGAATAATCTTACCAGTATTTCAATCTGTTGGAAAATAAAATTGTCCCATAATATTTTATATCATGCTCCTTCTCTGGCTTCATTATTAAAATCCAGAAAGGAAAGGATTCTGCCCCAGGTCTGCCTAGGCTTTTATCTGATGCTTTTACCAGCCCAGGGTGCTGGTGTGAGGCTGTATTTTAGGTATGATATGTTCAAGCATCTGTATATTATTTAGGAAGAGAATCTTTTTGTGTTATTTGTTTTACAGGTGTACAGATCATCTCTCAAAATGCCTTTGGTGACATCTTCTAAGACAATTAGCTTCCTGATAGTTGACTAATAGAATTAATACGTGTAGAAAGCACTCTAAAGCCACCCACATGCCTTATGAAGTCAATGCTGGGTATGGTTTTGCAAGTATGTGATCTATTTTTTTCAAGGAAAATGTTCACTGGAAAAGTTCTTGGCACACAGTAAAGCATCGTGCAATCTGTTATTTGTCTTAGAGATAATAACTGGCGGGAGGCTATAGTCTTGTGCTATCTAACTTATGACTTGAGAGGGGAGTTTCTTCCACTCAGAAGTATTGCAAATGTGCTTATATTTACATAATATGTCACTCTGAAAAATTATGATGATATAATTCCAGTAACATTTTTTCTATAACTACTTCAAAGTATACTCAAATAAATTAACTACATTTTTTAAAACAGCAACTCAAAGGAACATGCCCCTACCCCCCACAGCACAATATAAAACCCAAATGACCTCTCTGATTCTTCTTTGAAGTTTTAGCAGTTTAACGTTCTTTGCAATGTATATTATTAAGGTCTCTGTTGAGCATAAGGCATAAGTGAGTCATACTCTTTCTGAAGGTCTGCTCCTGGGTGGAAGAAGGAACTAGAATTTGTGAAGATATTAATTTAATTAAATTGTGTTTTTTTTTTCCTTAGGAGCTAATGATGCTGGTGGAGTCATTTTTAACCTTTGACCCACCACGTTTCTTCATGATAATGATAAATCAGTTGAGATCTAAAAGGTTTCTTTCTTCTGAAAAATGACTTTTTTCCCCAATATGAATGTATTTAGATCAATTTACTTTTAAGTATTTTATCTTAGTTCCCTTGCCATTTTTCTAATCACTTTGACATTAATATATGGGCATAAACCATTCACCTTTCATTTTGATAGATGGGTAACCTTAATGAATCAGATTATGATTTCTTCCGACATTCTGCTTTTCATACAGAGTTTTCTACAGTTTTGGGTAACCTCATTTATATCATTTCAGTTAGTCATTGTTAGAATGTAGGTATGTTAAGTAGGAAAGGTTGAAACACAACCGTTATGGTTTTTAAGCACTTGGCCAAAGAAAGACTGTATTATGTTCCATACAGATGAGATGATGTACAATGGAGAAGTAATTCAGAATTTTAGAAGATGAGGCAAGAGATGCTTCCCAAATCAATATCGTTTTATGTGTTTGAACATGTAGGAACAGCTTATATTATGAACTAGAGCATCCTGTCTTCTAGGTCAAGTTTAAATATAAGTTCATAAGTACAAACACGTATAAATGTATCCATATTTAACAAATGCTTTTAAATTTGCGCGCGCGCACGCGCGCGCGCACACACACACACACACACACGCACACACAGACATACAGACATACACAACTTTGAGATGTGTATCTGACTGAGCTCTACAGTTCGACCCAGAAACTCCTGGGTTCTAGTGCTCTTCTTTCAGCTTTCCTAATTGCTAGCACTACAAACACATGCCACTCTGCCTGACTTAAAACAGCATGTGTTTTGTTTACATTTATGCTTTAAACAATGACCGATTTCTTAGATTCTTATCTTTTTCCTTCAAATTTTCCTTTTGGATAGCTAACAGTAAAATTACCTTGTAATCTTTCACATGCCCTCCCAAGTTTATCAGAGCCCCATCCAATTGACAGATATAGGTGTCCTAAAATGTTGTCAACAAAAGCAACATTGAAATGCAAACATTACAAAAACATAGTTAACCTGTGTCCTGAGTTACAAAGAAGGCTCCCAGCTTCTTTTCCTTGAGGTTTTCATGGAGTGACAAGGAGAGTCACACATTCCCCCTTCTTCCTGAAGGTTAACGTTGCCCCCTGACTAACACTTTCTCTGGTTTCTTCATTCTTTTATCATATTTTTGTTATTCCATGAGGGAACTTATATGGACATTTGATGAATAATATTATTGGTGCTTAAAGAGAGCACTGCGGTTTTTAAAATACTGTTGTTCTGTCTTCTACATTAGTTCCTGAAGTGAAATATCACCTTATCAAGGATTATTTACACATCTAGCCCAATATCATGCTTGGTGATTCATTTTACAACCATTTTGTGTGACTAGAGATGTTCAGAAGCAAAGGTCCACCCATTCCTCTTGGGCCAGTGTGATCCTGCTGCATCCTGAAGAGTTGCAGGGGAAAACAGCTAAGCAATGCTATTACATTGGGTTTTTCCAGCCCTTTTCCATAGCTGTGGTAGAACTCACTCTACTAAACTGGTCGTCACAGCAAAGTCTGCTCACCATAAAGAAAGCTTGTTTTATTAGACAGTAGAAGGTAGAATTTTTAGAGAGACATTTTGAGGGATGGCTTAGGCAGTGCTTGAGTTTTCAGCTGAGAGCTGAGAGAACGAAGGGCCTAGAGCCCCATGCTCAGCCAGCCTTTGTTAATACGGTCTTTAATTAGCAGGACACTATTCATTTCTCAATATTATTACAGATCTGATAACTACATCCCTGTATAGGCATTTATCACTTAAGTTCTAAGTTTGACTTTAGCTACTGATGTCAAAAAGTCCTAAGGCACAGTAGAGCTGGCGTGGGAAGAAAGCCACCATAAACTGCTAAGACCTTGTCATTTCAGTCACAGACAGTGGCCTTTGCCAGCTTCCATACTGTTCTCTAGGTGAGAACCCAAGGGCTTAGCTTATTTCCGCATCCTGCTGCAGAGTTCCCGTGACACCCGTTTTCCTGCTGGAATGCATTCTCAGACCTACTTCTAACCCCCAGCATGGTACCCATAAGTTTTAAAGAAATTCTTGGTAGGGCTGAGCAGAAATGTTCATTATCTTCTTTCCTGGTAGTAAGTAGGCGGTTTTCACTCAGTTCATAACATGACTTTTTGTGTCATTTTGACACGAATCTATTTCTTTGAAACCATATTCTTATTAGTGTAGCAATATTCCATCATAGCAATTAATGTATATGTGCATATATTTTTCATGGAAGCAAGCATGCAGTATGTGTTTTGTAAAGTTAAACCTGTACATATGTTCTATATATGTAGCATATCTGATATATATAAAATCTATAGCATGTATAAATATATGTGTGCTTATCATTGCCCATAATTGAAAATAAGGAAATTAGACAAAAATAGGATGGGAGGGAATGGTTAATAATATGGATAATAATGAGTCTTTTAATATTCATATCACGTCTTAAAAGAATAGATTAGCTAGTCTTTGTGTTAAACAGGTCCAAATATCAAATATTATTTGCTTTTGCCTGTCCCTCTCCTTTTCTTTTTCTTTCCATATTTTTGAAGCTGTCTTTTTTTTTCCTTCTCCTTAGAGGAACTATTTTATTGTGCACCTTGAAGAGTTTGAAATGACTAAGTAAAATACCCTAGATTCGGTTACCTGTGTGTAATCTTCAAATAACCGTGTCCCTTCATTTTCCCTATGTGTTCACAGATATGGTCCGGAAAAAGAACCCCCCTCTGAGAAACATTGCTAGTGAAGGCGAGGGTCAGACCCTGGAGCCAAGAGCTACAGAGAGCAAGGTGTCTACAAAGGACAAAGAGTTTTCTGCAGATCAAATGTCAGAAAATACAGATCACAGCGATGCTGCAGAACTGAACACGAAAGAGGAACACAGCGTGCATGGCCAAGATCCATCTTCTAGCAGTAAGAAGGACTTGCAAATCTCAGGCCTGAGTGAGAAGGCCGGCTTCAATTATGAAAGCCCGAGTAAGGGAGGAAACCTTGCCTCCTTCCCGCATGATGAGGTAACAGACAGAAATATGTTGGCTTTCTCATCTCCAGCTGCCGGGGGAGTCTGCGAGCCCTTGAAGTCTCCTCAAAGAGCAGAGGCAGATGACCCTCAAGATATGGCCTGCACCCCATCAGGGGATTCATTGGAGACAAAGGAAGAACATAAAATGTCACCAAAGGCTACTGAGGAAACAGGGCCAGTGCAGAGTGGTCAAGCCAATTGTCAAGGTTTGAGCCCGGTTTCCGTGGCCTCAAAAAACCCACAAGTGCCTTCAGATGGGGGTGTAAGACTGAGTAAACCCAAAACTGACTTACTGGTGAATGACAACCCAGACCCGGCACCTCTGTCTCCAGAGCTTCAGGACTTTAAATGCAATATCTGTGGATACGGTTACTATGGCAATGACCCCACAGATCTGATTAAGCACTTCCGAAAGTATCACTTAGGACTGCATAATCGCACCAGGCAGGATGCTGAGCTGGACAGCAAAATCCTGGCCCTTCATAACATGGTGCAGTTCAGCCATTCCAAAGACTTCCAGAAGGTCAACCGATCTGTGCTTTCTGGTGTGTTGCAGGACATCAACCCTTCACGGCCTGCTTTACTAAATGGGACCTATGATGTACAGGTTCGTTTTTTTCTCTTGTCATTTCTAGGAGGGAGAATCAAGTAATTAGTGATGAAAGGTGAATTCACAGTTTTATGTTCAAAGTGAGATCCCAGACAAGAGACTTTTACACCCAATAGAAAAGATGTGTTATTTCATTGCTGCTTCATTCAAATGTGTATTCAGGGTTGATTTTAACTTCTCATTGTGGGGAAAAAATCCAAAATTTCTAGCAGATTTGGAAAAAGTTTTTTTATGGAATTATCAAAAATTCACATTTCTTGATCTACTTCATGATAGTTGGGTATTTTCAGCCTTCCAACAATGGTAGAGATCTGTGACTGCACATGATCATAAGTCATTGCCTTGTTCTAGTTTCAGACTAGTAGGCTTCTCCTATAATCTTCCTCCTGGGTCAGTCTTTCTTGTGTCTTGGACTAGGATTTGATTTTATAGTTAGTCTAATGAGGTTTGGATCTTATTGACAGTAATGGAGATATATTCTTGATATATCAAAATAACTGCAAATGGAATTTTGAAGTAACATTTTACATTGATTACAACCCCAATGAGACTGTAAGTAGTACAGAGTTCACAATGACTTTGAAATAAACCAATAAAGCATTCTTCTCTCCATTTAAGGAAAATGGTAATAATTTATGAAGGCATTTGGTAATGATTTAGGTTTACACTTTTGTTGAAACACATACTCTGTTTTCATCTGTTTTTCTGTCCTCAGTTGAAAGCATAGATATGAAAAAACCCTAAGGTGTAATATTTTTAATTTGAAAGAAACATGGATATGAATATGAAGAAATTCAGTATTAATTTTAATTAATTTAATCTTGGTGATTTTAGCACAGTTGAAGCTCATAGCCAGTCCCTCAAAGAGTATTAGGTTGTTTTACATTCTAAAGTTCTTTTTTTTTATTAATAATTTTTTTCATTCATTTTACACACCAATCAAAGATCTCCCTCTTCCCTCCTCCCACCCCTCCAGCCTTCCACTTCCAACCCACCCCTCATTCCCTCACATAAGAAGGTAAGGCCTCCCATGGGGAGGTACATTTAGTAGAGGCAAGTCCAAGCCCCTTCCTCTGCCTTAAGGCTGTGTGAGGTGACCCATCATAGGTGGTGGGCTCCAAAAAGCCAGCTCATGCACTAGGGATGGATTCTGATCCTACTGCCAGGGGGCCCCTTAAGCAGATCAAGCTACACAACTGTCTGCTGAGCTGTGGAGATCACAAAGCAGGTGATGGTAAATGTTCACCTTATTTATGAATTTTTACAAGTACCATAGAACTCAGCACTTATTTTACCAGGGAAGTCCTTTAACATTCATTTTTGTCAGCTTCCTAGCCATAGTAGCTCATTCCTATGCTTTTCTACGGACCTAATATAAATTAAGAAAAATACAGAAAGGCACTACAAAGGATAGGCAGTAACATATTTTACAATATCTGTAAGAAAGATAAGGATAGAAAATTCTGAGCCCTTTCCACATCAGAATGACCATCATTATTTTAAAGAAGATATGGATAAAACTTAACAAGGCAGTTTCATCTTTAAAATTTCCATTTTCTCATTGAATTTCTCCAAATAGAATTATTTCTGTCGAGTAGCAAATTAAGGCAACATAGTTATTATGCATGAAAGCTGCATGCTTTGAACTCCTGTCTTATTAAAGATCATTTCACTGTCTTATGTCAGATATACTCTGCTGTCAAACTCTGATTTGGAAAGCAAATACGTGTTTTAGATAAAAGGGTTGGAAGTGCATAATGTCAGTGTGCGAAACGGTGTTTTATAATTAGCAAGTAATATGATGTTAATACCTGGATTTCCGGCAGTTTTAATTTGTTCACTCTGGGGACGACTTCTGAGGGAAGCTGATCCCGGCTGTCAGGAAGGCTCTAAAAAGATTACTAAGGCCTAGGGTTTGGAAGAATTCAGATTTTTTAAACACACTTCCATTTCCCCCAAATAGTTATTTGTTAGGTTCTTAGTTATTTATAGTAAAGTTTATGTTTGGGTGGAACACTTTTCCTGGGCAGTGATTTTAGAAATGAAACAGATGTGTGAGCTATCTGAGTTTGGAAATAAAACAGCTGATCACAGACCATGCTGTGCACTAAAATCCCTGCTCTGCATGCAGCAAAGAAAAAAGTGATAGGAAGCCACAGGCAGGAAGGTGATCTTGTTAGAATTATTTTATTTTCTTCTTCTGTTGAAGAAAACTAATGCTGTTACAAGTAGATTAAACCAATCCATGGGAAACATGGATGGTTATTTCAAAGAAATGAATGGGTGTGGGGCCAAACCTAAAACATTGTAACTTCATTTTGTGAAGAGCATATCAAGTGCACTATAGATCAATAATGACTTTGAACATATAGCGCATACATACCTGATATTTGTGCAAAAACATGTCTGAAGATAAGTAACTTGGTAGTTTCCATGCTGAACCACAAACCAAACAGCTTTTCCTCCTACATATATTCAGTAATAAAGCCATGTCTGAAATCTCCTTTTGCTCTAACATATCTGTGCTGCAGAAATGCTCTTTAACTAGCTCCTTCTTAGGACCTTGAACTGTGTTCACTAAAAGCTGCCGGAGATAAAATCCTGACTACAGAATTTCTTTAATGCAGAGTTCCATAAGAAATATGTATATCTATCCATACATACATACATATGATGCATTTTATGACTTAATGTCTTGTATATGTTCTGATAAAATATTTTCCTAGACACCAGTATTATGAACAATTTCAGGAATCATTTACTGAACTACACAGTTTAAGTCAATTACAGAAATGGATGAACAATTCATTAATCTTTTTCAATTAAATTGGATTTTAGGAAATGTTCAGAGCAGTTGGCAGTTAATGATAGATTTATGACACTTTAGACCAAGAGAAAGGAACAGAGGAAAGAACTCAGAGGACTATGTGGCTGTGATCTATAGTTTGGTTTGACACAATGGTTTTATAGAAATCGAACCAACTTGATTGCAAATACAAGATAACCGGTTTGGAAGATGGAGTAATTAATTCAGCAACTTAGATTTTAATACATACTTTATAAACCTAAAATGTATGCTATCTGAAGGAACCTTTGAAAATCCAGTAGCACAGATCTTGTATGACACTGTTCATGTCCATGGGAATGATATTCCAAACTGGCCAAGGAATTATGGTTATATTTGTAAAAATAATGTCAACAAGATTTTCTTACATTGCCCCTGTAGATAGTGTACCAGGAATAGGTGAAGACCACCTGCAACACCACCATAGAATATCCCACAACCATCTTGTCTTGGTCTGAGAAATTCGTGAGATCCTCCACCACACACTTCGCAGTAGTGTGCATAGCCCTGTAAACAGAAAAGAGATCATCTTTTTACAGAAAAACAAAAAAATTAAGATGACCTTCCTGACACAAACTAAAAACAGCAAAATCCAAACAATGCCAATAATTAAATAAATAAATAACAAAAAAGTAAAAGAAGATCTTGGCTAGCACTGAGCTACTTGACTGGATAAGGGCACTAGTTTCCCAATGTTTCATCCCCCACTCTGTGTTTTATCAGGTTTCTTTTCTTTTCTTTTCTTTCTTTCTTTTTTTTTTTGCTTACATATTTGAAAATAATGGATATGGCATGATTGGTAAGCCTCATGTAATTTTTACTATCTGTATTCAGCCTTTGAGGCTTGCAAGTAGACCAATAATAGGACAAGAGATTGAGTTCTTTAAAAAGTAATTACAGCCTCTTTCTTTTTAATCTGCTTTATTATGCTTATATTTAAACCTTCTCTGAATGGAGGCCTGCATTAACCACGCCGACTCTGCTGTTTCATTAGGGCTTAATGTGCTGTGCATTAGGGCGTTTGCATCATCTTTATGGGGGAGCTTTTAGCTCTCAGATCAGGTTATAAAATTAGGAGTCCTGTCAAGTTGTGCTTCCCACGGGAAAGTGTTTACACTATTCCAAGTTGATAAAAGCTTAAGATGCACGCAAAACCTTTCCATATTAGCAGATCTTTTCCCTTCTTCTGCATTATTCACAAATCCATGAAAGTAGCTACTGGATTCCATTTGGGACCTTCATTTTGGCCTTAGTGAAACCCTACGTTTACTGGAAGGACCCCTTCCTTAACTCGCCAGGGACTCTCTTCTGTTTGAACCAGGAGTGCTACATTTCTGTTTTGTAAATATTTTTATCCCAGTTGTACAATATGTCATGTTAGAAACAGGAAGAGCAGATTTTCATGATAGGAAACTACCCTTTGTTTTTATATTTTCAGCACATTTAACTATAGGAGCTCTATATACCCTTAACATATAAGTGTATTCAGTTGCACACGGGAATTACAGTTTTGATTAAAATAGTAAAAGAAAACAAAACAAAAACAAAACACCCAAGAACATTAATCTCATTGTGGTTTATTTTGACTTGTCTTGAATTTTACTTCCAAATATTTATTTTCTGCTTTGCAGTTTCCTTTGATCTGGAGTATAAGGGAAGTTGTAGATCTTAGCAGGTTCTGTTTCTTTGTTTTTCCAAGTTCAGAACTATTGCACTTTAGAAAAACTGGTGAATGAGACTTTAATCAATTCAGACTGTCTATGGAGTACAGAATGTTTGGCATATGAATCCAGACTTATTTTCAGGGCTGTATCTCTTTAACAAGTAATAAAGTGTGCAAAATAAAACATATGCTCACCCCAAGGCCATAAAGCAAAGCAAAGCTCTGGCATTTACCAGGTTATTTTCATCAGTGGAGATGGCTGAGCTGGATAATGTAACCCCCCCCCACACCCCTGCTGCCCCCAGAGGAGAAGTTTGACCATTCTAACTAATCCATTTACCTGTGTGGCAGTTAAATCTCCATTTGGCTGTGTTAACATGAGAGTGGTATGATAAATGTCTACTTCTCTTTGATTTTTTGGTTTGTTTGTTATCATTTAAAGAATGTGTGTCATTTTCTAGAATATCAGTGTTTCTCTCGAGGCAGAAT